GCGCGCGCGCGCGCACGTGTGTGTGTTTGAAAGCCTTAACCTATTTCACCATTCTCATGAGAAGTCTAGTAATTTTCTTGAATTGATGACAACAGTTGTGACAGGATATTAATTAGATTCTTCCTGGTGTCTTTGGAGTTTCAGCAAAGGCTTCAAAAACAGAAAACAAGAAAACAGAAGCCAGGTAGCCCCTTCCCTCATCTACCTCACAGGGAGTTGGGAAGAAATTATGAAGCAGTCTGCGAGCATCATCCAAGCTAAGTCTATATAAGAGAATGAGGATTGTGTTGGAGAGTTACCCATGGGCTGGGAGAAAAAGGCCTCCATTCCCTTTGTCTAAAGCCAAGTGAGATAGAGGCCTCCAATAGCACCTCTCAATTCTTGGCTTATATATCCTGGGGTTCAGAAGTCTATAGGGACTGATGTCATGACTTCCACCTAACAATGTCCAAAAGCATGATGCTGGCTGACTAGCTGTCCTGGGATGACAAGTAAAGTGGGTGGCACAGAGAACAAGCTGTCAGGAGACAGTGCACAGGAATGCATTGTCCTGTGGTCAAGTATACCTAGACGAAAACTGACCTGGAGTAATTTAAAAAGGATCCTTCCCACGAGGGGTGCCCAGAGACAAAAGGGCCCCAAGAGACTGAACTTTATATGGGATCAACTGCTGGAAGGCCAAGGACCGGAAGGGGAGAGGAGTCATAAGCAGTCAACCAGAGGTGGGCCATTGCTTCAGTCCCAGCAACAGAGTCATAACAAAGCCCACAAAGGTGACATTGGAGAGAAAGAGCCATTTGTGAGTCTTCCATGTCCACAGGGAACCAACTTTAGAAGACAACAGTACCCTGCTAAGGCCAGGAAAGACTGTGCTCTTTTCCACTAATTTCTTCTCCTGTACCAAACCCTTGGTTAGCGAGTGGCGTGGTTTGTGGTGGGGGTGTCAGAAATAGCAGCTAGCCAGTGGGAGAGGAGGAGTAAACTCTGGGAAGTAAAAGGCAGGGATATGGAGAAGCCTGGCACACCTTCCTTCATCATAGCCATCTTTGGCTGAAGCAGGCAAGAGCTGAAGAAGGGGAGAAGCTTTAGCTTGAATGAGCTTTTAGAGTTGCAATTATTATACTGGACAAGATGCTTTTGTTACTGCAGTAAGACTATTTGTGTGACTAAAAAGTACTTGAAAAGGGATCTGTGAAAGATTCCATGTAGGACATTGAAAGAATTATTCAAAGGGCAGGTTGAAGGGGAAGGAGAAGAGTTTTTCAATTATATACCATGAGGTCCAGCTGCCTTTATAAAAAATAATTATTCAATATTAAAAGGATTGAGAAAGAAAAGTTGATACAGAGTATAACTAACCTTGATTTCAAATGTATTAACTCCATGTATCTATAAATACCTATCCACATTTTTTTAAAAAAGATTTTACTTATTTATTTTTAGAGAGAGGGGAAGGGAGGGAGAGAGGGAAACATCCATGCGTGGTTGCTTCTAGAGCGCCCCCCACCCCGCCAGGAACCCTGCCTGCAACCCTGGCACGTGCCCTGACAATCAAATCAGTGGTCCTTTGGTTCACAGGCTGGTACTCAATCCACTGAACCACACCAGCCAGGGCCACATTTTCTTCATGTTTATTTAGATCCCACCAAAACATGAGTAACCAAAATTCAGATATAGTCTAGTAAAAGGGCACACCTCTGGCATATTTTAAATTATTTTTCATTAAAGTGACTTTTATGGCTTTTTAATTTTATATAAATTATATAAATAACCCCAAAGTCACAAAACACAGACGAGAAAAAACAAACAATCAAAAAACACCTCCATAATAGTCATATTAGGTGAGGTTATACTGTGGTAGCAAATTATGCCCCAAATCTTAGTACTTAACACAACAAAGTTTTATTCCGTTCATAGTACATGTTCAACTAGGATAGGAGTGGGGCTCTGCTTCACTCAGGGACCAAGGCTGACAGGCTGAACCATCTGGAACACATAGTTTCCTCAGTTGCCCACATCAAGGGAAAAGAGGACATGGAAAGTTTATAGTAACTACTCTTTCTTGATTAGGCTTGGAGGTTATACAAAGTGCTTGCATTCACATTCCATAGTGACTGGAACTAGTCAGATGGCCCCCTTTCTGAAAGGGGAAAGGAAGTATCCTTTTCCTCCTGCCCAGAATGAGAAGAGAACCAGCTATCCATAAGCCCTGATTATATGGCCTAGATCTCCTAGTCCCACCAACCCAGAGATGATTAAAATCAAGTTCTCTAGACTATTTTATATGGCAGCTTCACTTACTTAGACTGTCACCATTTTCTGACAGGTCTTTCATGCTATGGAACTCATGTATCCAAATCTCTGAGGTCTGCTCTTTGTTTCATAGGACAAATGAAATATATTCCAGATTGCTCAGAAACCTGGCATATTACTCATATTTTTTGGTTAAGGGTCATCATATTCTCAGATTGCTTTATTTTCTTTTACTTCCATCATCTATCCTGGTATTTCTTTTACTTCCATTATTTAAAAATCTTTTTATTGTAAGTAACACAACAAAAGAGAACAATAAAATTGGATTTAGAGGTGGAATGTTAGTATTTGGCAGGGTTCATTCATTAGCTGAGTAACTCATTTCTTCACTATGGCTTCCCAGTCTACAGATAATCTCAATGCATGTTTGAAAGAAAATTGGCTATCCATTTGTGAAAAATAATTTTAGATTTAATTTAACAGATTATGTGAGGATTCATACATAAAATTCTCAGTAAACTGAATATGGAAACAAAAATCATTAAAGTGTTAAAATTTATATAGAAGACTTAATAACCTTGATATGATTAAGGTCTCCTAAGAGCCACAAAACCCAAAAGTCACAAATTGGAAATGCAAATGCCCATGGGGAGCAGGCAGGTAATGTTAAGGAGTGAAGTAAACTGAATAAAATCAAATGGTAAAAATTTTTCTTACTTTTACTGAGCTATGATGTAAGCATATGCCATTATATGAATATGTGAAATTGGATACATCTTAAATTCAATATATAAGTAAATTAGAAAGTGGAAATCTTTTATAATTACTTTTTTCCTTTGTTTTGACTTTGCTTTGGAATCAGAAACTTGATTTTCATACCAATTTCATGTATTGTGTTTCTAGTTGCTAGAAGAAAATTGTTAAGCCAGCTGTTGTTTTATTTTAAAGAGTTTGACTTGTCAGGGTCAAAATTTTTTTGCATGTTTTAACCTTTTTTTTTTTGTATGTGTTTTGCCTTCTTCTTGACTTTCGTACTTAATAAGCAGAGCTCTGCAACTGGGGACTACTCTACAGACAGGTGTCCAGGAACATTATGGTCACAGGTTGGGGGGTGTCAGTTGCTCACATCCCCCAGTCACTCACAGGTCTTCTCAATGTGGACTTATTACCAGCAATGTTGGCTCTTGGTTCTTGAGTTCAGCAAAGAAAGAATTCAGAACTCTAGTGCAAGAGAAATTTTGTTTAGTATGCAAAGTCAAAGTGCATGTGAAGGGAAGATTCAAACAGGCTGCTCAGAGAGCTGCCTTGGCCCTTTAGAAAGAGTCACAGAAGCAGAAGAGGAGGGCCAGATGGGCTTCTTGGATTCAGGAAACAAGTTACAGAGGCAAAATAAGGATCTTGGAGACAGGTTCAGGGGATTAGCCGGGGAAAAGATGACTGCTGCTCCCCTGGTTGCACATCTCCTGGGAACCTTTAGAGCTTAGGAGAAAGAAAACAAAGATATGTGCCTGGAGGAAGAAGGGAAGTCCAACTGGGTCTTTTGTCTTAAGAGTTTTTATCTGCTTTCTAAAGGCAGGAGATTTAGGGGAGGTCTCAGGGAGGATCTCAATAACGATGCACCAGGTTTCCAGGTGTATACTTTAATATGCTGACAAATCAAAATGAGCATGTAGGTCATTCTCTGGTCAGTTTTGCCTTCAAAGAATGTCACTGAAGAGGAACCTGGACCAAGAGGGTCTTCCCTAGCACAGTCTGGACTGTGTAAGATAGACCTTACATTAATTATCTGATTGTAAATTGCTGGGCTAGTTTGTTCAGCTGTCTGTCTGTTTTCCCAATCCACTTGCCATGGAATTTTCCTAGCTTCTTACTATCCTGCCTCAGACTCATGGTGGTAAGTGATCTTCCACATGAACTAAGTGTTCTGGTTGAGAGACTGAAATCTTACTCTGATGTTTGCTTGGAGTTGAATTTTTTACCTTTATCCCACACTTTCCCACCCTCAGCTTCAACGTCTAGAAAGCAGGCAAATTGTAAACTGATGGTTGTCAGTGGGCTTCTGTGAGGGGCCATGACTTTGATGGTGGCTGTTGCTCAGGTGCACAACCTAGTGTTTGGGAGGTTATTTATATTTACATCACTTATAACAATTTATTGTCCGCACCTAAATTAATAGGGTTGGGGGCAAGAGAATAACCAAGGTAAGAGCAGGAGAAGATTGAAGGTGCTCCCAAAAGCCTCAGAGCCCTCAGCGGCCCCGCGCCTCCAGCATCCAAGGAAGATCAGCCCCACTCCTCTCGCTTCCGTTCCTCCCCACCCTTCTTCCCTAGTCACCCTAAACAGAGGCCTTCGGTGTCACGTGGTCGCGGGGGGGAAGTGGGCGGCTCAGCAGCCGCCATCTTGAGGGCTTGGAGGCGGAGCCTGTGGAGAGCAGGTCGCGCGCTTCACTTCCCCTCCCCTCGCCCTTCCTCCCGCCGGCTTCTGCGCTCCTCCCCACTTCTGGCTGGTGTGGCCGCTCCCTGACTGGGGAAGCGGGGAGCCCCAGAGGGCGGGGGGGTGTGTCGGACGCGTGCTCGCGCCCTCCAACCGCTATCCGCGGCCGCGGCCGCGCGCTCGGCCGGCACCCCCCCGCCACCCCCGCCCGGGACGGCGCGGGGTAGAGAGAAGGGGGCTGCCCCGGCTGTGGGGGCGGCGCGAGGCGGCCGTGGCGGCCAAGGCTGCAGCTGCGGCGGTACACTGGTGCCGCGCATCTAGGGCGCCCGCGGGTCAGACTTGCCACCGCGAACGCTACTGCCGGAGCCATGTACCGCAGCGGCTCCCGCTCCTCCGGCTCTTCACATCGGCCTAAAGAGAGCGGCGGGAGCTGCCCGCGCACCGGCCGCGGCTCCGGCTCCTCCTCAGGCCCGGCTCGCCGCACGTCGCCGCCCTGCGGCTCCTCCTCGTCGCGGACCCCGGCCCGCCGGCCCCGCTCGCCTTCAGGGCACCGCGGCCGCCGGGCTTCGCCTTCCCCGCCACGGGGTCGCCGCGGCTCCCCGTCACCACCCCGCGGCCGCCGGGCCTCGCCGTCCCCGCCGCGGGGTCGTCGCGTCTCCCCGTCCCCACCGAGGGCCCGTCGCGGTTCCCCGTCGCCGCCGCGGAGCCGACGACTCTTCCCTCCGGGCCCGGCGGGTTTCCGAGGCAGCAGCCGTGGGGAGTCCCGCTCCGACTTCTCCCGGGACGGCCGCGGAGACCATCCAGGCGACAGCGGCAGCCGGGTAATCACACCTTTTGGCCAGGACTCGCTTCGTACCCTAGTCCCGTCACCCAGGGTTTTCGCTTCCAGAAACGCCCTCAAGCGCCCGCGCCTCCAGGCCTCCAGGCCAGGGTCCCAAAATCGCTCCTCCACCCCCTCGGCTAAGCCTGAACCTGGAGGTTCCTTGTCACCCGGGGGAGCTTCAATTACACAATGAGGACTCGGGACCCGCTCGGGCTCCAGGTCCGGAGGCAGTGCTCCATTTCCTGGGAATAGGTTGGTTGTCGCGCTGTGGGTGAGGTGTGGAAAAGTTTGCCAGGGCCAAGGAAATTTTCTCCAAACCGTGTGTCTGGTACTTTTTCAATAGTTGATGCTTTCTCAAAGTTGCATGATTTTGTATTCCGTTAGACCCGAGCTGCCCCCTGGATCACAGAAAAGACACTGTAATATCTTTATGGAGAGTTAGCGTTGTTTAAACTGTGCCAGGGTAGACATCTACACTGTAAATATTGGCTATCAATTGGAGCTGCTTCTCAGAAATGAAGTGTGCATTCCCACAGTCATTTTAATAATCGTTATCACTGAGCTATGTGGAAGTAATTAGGCTTAGCCCTTCAATGTATACATTCTCTTTGAACATCAACAAACCTTTGAAGTGAGACATTTAAAATTATTCCCTATTAAAAAACAGCTGAGGGTCCAGAGAAGTTTAAGTAATTTAACCAAGGTCAGGCAGTGAAGTGGTGACACTGTGATTTAATTCATATCTGCCTGGTTCCCTTTTTTGTTTTTTTGTTGTTAATCATTATGTTTCCCTGCTAGAGGGACAGAGAATGAGGTTTAAAAAGTTTGGTTTGGACATAATATTGACCTGTTACCATAAGCATTATTCTAGTAGAGCCTCTGGGTAGGGTCTGGTGTTTTGTGTTTTGATTTTATTTTCAGTTCACCAGTCTTTTCAAACCCCATGACAAAGTTTCTGTCTTCTTGAGGGTCTCTAACGGTATGCCCTGGGCACTCTGGTCATAGGCGAATTGACTTGTCACTAAATTAAGATTTTCACAGATGAGCAGCTGCAGTCTGAGTGTTAGTTACTACAGAGTAAGCAAGGAAAACAGAACACTTGTTTCCAAACCTCCCTTTTCTTCTCCAATGCACAACCTGTTTGCTCCATTTTTTTCTGTCTCAGTAAGTGACATCACACATTGTTCAGCCCCAGACAGTCATCATCTCCCTTTTTCCAAGCCTGATCTGTCAGATTAATTTCATCTGTCTAACCTGTCAGCTCTATCTCAAGAATACATCCCCAAACTGTCCTCCTCCTGCCATCACTTTATTATGTCTTCCCTGGGTTATTACATTACATTAAGCTCCTTTACACTCCACCCTTGTTACCTTCCAGTTTATTCTGTACCCAACAATCAACATGATTTTTAAAGGTTTATTTTATACATTTGAGAAGTATTTATTAAACATCTGCCATGTGTTAGGTGCTGTTATGGGTCCTGGGGGCATGAGTGAGCAAACCAGTTAAAAACTCTGCCTTCGTAGAGTTTATATTCTAGCAGAGGGAGTTGGGTAATAAATAAAATAGAGAAGTAAAATGTTTGGCATGTTAAATGCCTAAGAAAATAGAGAAGGGAGGTATAATTTTTGATAGGGTAGCCAGGGAAGGCCTCTGGGAAGGTGACTTAATAAAGACCCCCAAGGAGATGAGGGCATGGGTAGTTTGGGCATCTGGAGGAAGAATGTAGTCAAATCATACCACTTTCCTGCTTGAGATCCCTCTGTGGCTTCTTATGTTATTCTTAAGAATAAAATCCAGATTTCCTAACAGGGTTCTCCCTCTCTTCTGTCACTCTTATGCAGTCACAATGGTCACCTTTCTATTGTTAGTCAAAACCTGCTAAGCTCATTACAGAGCTTGTTCCTTTCGCCTGAAACATCTTTCCATCTATTCTCTACAAAACTGACATCATTCAGATCTCAGGTGAAATGATATCACCTCAGAAAATCCTTCTCTAACCATCCTATTAGATGTAGTTCCTTTTTCTCCAGTCTCTTTTGTGTTATGTTTTAATGACTTTCTGGCACTTAGCTATCAGAAGTACTTTTCAACTGTTTTTGAGTTGCCTCCTTCACTAGAAATGTATAGGTTCTGGGAGCAAACTTAATTCACTTCTCTAGTCCCATGCCCAGTACTAGTAAAATGAAAGAACGAGAGGTCACTGGGAGGGTTCAAAGTGTGGGCTTTCATCTAAGAAAGTGATAGTTTTTTAAAAAGTGCTGTATTTTTGGAGTAGTATATTACCATAGCCATTTCTCACCCTGTTGGACCACAACTTTGTGACTAGAGAGGAGAACATTTTTGGGTATAGGGATCTTTTGACCTCTTGACTACTGTATTATCTTTTGCTTTTGTAGAGACGTTCTCCTGGTCTGCGATCTGATTCTTCTTTGGAACAGAGCTTAAGGATCACTGTTGGCAATGACCACTTCTGTGTTGGCATTCCAGAACGGCGGCGGCTTAGTGATCGACTGGGTTCACCAGTGGATAATCTGGAGGATGTGGACAGGTAGGCTTCATCTGAGGCAGGGGTATTATGGCAGTTGAAGGTAGAAATGTTGATGGTTTCTGAAGGGTGTATTTGAAAGAGTCGTGCCAGCAGTGAAGTTATTATGCCTGATGTCCATTACAAAGTATAACATTTGAAAAGGCTTTCTGAGAAGGGAGAGAATATTAACGTAGACTCTGTTGCTGAGAGAAAGAAGAAAAGACTAAAGGTCATCCAGGTCCAAACTGGAAAAAGGAAAGCTGAGGGAATATAAACAGAGTTTCCCACATTAAAACAGTTGAGCCCTAGCTTGTGTGGCTAAGTGGATTGAGCACTGGCCTGCGAACCAAAGGGTCGCTGGTCCAATTCCCAGCATAGGGTACATGCCTGGGTTGCAGGCCAGGTCTCCAGCAGGGGACACATGAAATGCAACCACACATTGATGTTTCTCTCCCTCTCTTCCCCTCTCTAAAAATAAATAAATAAAATCTTTTTTAAAAATTAAAAAAAACAGTTGAGATGATATGGATTCTAAAATACTGGTATTAGGGGTTCTTTCTGCAAAGGAAAGTTCTGGACAAAATAGGAATCTTTAATAGTGTTATTTTTCTGCTTGTCCAGGCTGAATTATAGATTCAGAAAGGATTTAGATAAATTCACATGTAACATGTATATCCATATTAAATACACAGGCATTAATAGAAAGTTAAAGATCTTTAAAATTATTACTACTTTACAACTATTAAGTGCTGAGGAAGGGCAGATACACTCCACAGAGTGTTAAATATAAATGTCAGGTATAGGAACTTAACTATAAATGGGAAGTAAATAATCATATTAGATGCTTTTAACCTCACAAAGTAAAAGAAGGACAGGAGTGCAGGGAAAACACTCAGATTCTGAGAGCTGAGAACTGTGTCTTTGATGGTGTCTGCTCTGCACATTGGAGTTTTCAGAAATGATTATCAGTAGCAATAAATCAATGTAATGTTCTTTCAAACTAAGACTTCATGCAGTGGCACACAGAGCATAGGCAGGCAGGTGGGGGACAGCTGGCAGGAAGTCTGAGGACCAGTGCTGCTCTTTGGTAATATTTACTTCAAAGCTCCAGTGGCTATTTGATGCATTGAAACAAGACAGCATGGTCCAGTGTCATATAACACTGAAGCTTCTGAAGATAGGGCTACAGGGTATGTGACTCTATCACTTAATTGAGGAAACAGTCCTTGCCCCTCTGGCTGCTTCTATTTTAGGAGATGATTGAGTAGGCACTGTGAGTGGGTGGTGCATGATGTGATTATCTTCCTTCCTTGCTGAGGTTTTGAGGTAACTTTAGCATTTCCTCTTGGTAGGCCTAGGGTGTCACCTCTCTTTCCATGAGCTTCATTAAAGCATGTGTTCTTCAGATAGCCATTTGTTGGTTTTTAAATTATAAAAATTAAAATTTCCCTTCTAGGGAGTTTACGGCAGTAATCTTTCTAGAATCATGTATTTCAGAGACAAGTCTATTTTAGAGAAAGTGAGATTAAGGTTCTGAAAGGCGGTACCAGGCCATTCTTCTGAATTTCTGCCCCCTGTACTCTTGCTCAATATAGTTTGGGTAGATAATTACTCTCCATTAAAATCAGGCCATAGGAGAATTGGCATTCTCAGGGTGTCTCCTGAAAGTGAATCCAGTTTTCAGCTAATGAAATAATCTGTGTCCACCCTTGTATGTAGGTTTTTGTTTATTTTTTTTCCCCTAAGATCCCCAAATTCTTTCTCTTCTCTTATTCAATCTGTTAAATTTTATGTCAGGTTTGGGTTGTGGCCATATTGCCAGGATTATCAGTATCCTCACCTTGGCAGCTCTGTATGTAGGACTGTAACACTCTGATATGGGAACATGATCAAATTGTGTGGAAACGGTTTCTAAAGCCTTGTGGATGTGAGGTTGATTTCCCTTGGTTATCAAAGTACTCTGTACATTGTAAGTTCCATTCACAAAATTAGGAATTATTACACCCTAACTCCTCCTTGCCCTGACATATGTAGGAGTGGGATTTGCCTTCTGATTTGCCTGAGGGAAAAGGCAGGAGCCAACAGCTTCCTTCAGGCATTTTGGGGAATCAGCAGAGGAAAAGAATGGAAAGTTTGGACTCTTGAGGACCTTTTTTTAAACAGCTTTATTGAGCCATAATTCATATACCATACAATTCACTCATTTAAAATGTTCAGTGACTTTTAGTATATTCACAGAGTTTTAGTATATTCAAAAAAGTCTGCATTCATGCCACTATGGTTAATTTTAGAACATTTTTATTACTTGTACTCTTAACTATTAGTCTTCCACACTGCCTGCCTAGCCTATCACTAATCTACTTTCTATCTCTATGGATTTTCCCATTCTGGGTATTTCATATAAGTAGACTCATATAATATATGGTCCTTTGTGACTGGCTTCTTTCACTTGATTTTTCAAGATTTAGTCATGTTGCAGCATATAATTGTACTTCATTCCTTTTTGTTGCTGATAATATTTCATTGTAGGTGTTTTGTTTATCCATTCATTAGTGATGTATAGATGGGTAACATCTGAATTGTTTCCACTTTTTGGCTATTATGAATAATGGTGCTGTGAACATTGGTGTACAAATTTCTTTGTGGACATAATGTTACCATATATGATTTTTAACTTGTTTAATGATGTTTGTAAATACAAAAAAAAGTAGAATAGTACAGTGAACCTCGTACCCATCACCCACACCCAACAATCAGTTTTTTTAATATATAAATAGTCCTTATTTTAGGAAAGAGTTGGTGTTAACCAAAGCTTTTAGAGAGTCTGTCACTGGAATACTCTGAGCTACAGAGCATCAGGTGGCCCTTTTTAGGGCTCATTTTTACTGCAGCCAGTTCTTTGACTTATCCTTTGGGAGACCTAGAGAAGGAGGAGAGGAACTTCTAATAAACAACTTGATTTTTGCCTGTATTTACATGATGATTCATTATTTTAAGTTTCTATGTGTTCTTTCACTGTTTTTTGCCCCGTTTTGCTGGAGATTGCAAATCTGAACTGAGACTTTCTGGAAGTTATTATTTCTAGCTTCTTGGTATTTAGTGCTGGATTAGATCTTGGGTTATTATGCCATTTGGTGGTGACAATAATGTTTCTAGTGGGGAGCTGAATGTGGGAGCATGCGTGAACTTGCTACTTCTGTTTTATCGCCTTCACTATTAGTGATCAGAGACTTTTTGTATGGTAGGTGGTGTTCTAACAATGGAGTGACTAGCAATGGACATTACTCTCTGGAAATAGGTGTGTTTATGGCTGACAAACCTACAAAGTAAAATATTACTCTAGTTACATTTGGTTTCAGATATTGTCCTTGGTTTATTCCCATTTTTTTCCTATTTCATTCTACATTGAGAGCTTAAAATTCCTCAGGTTCTTGGGGAAGAGGTAAGTAATGTGGACCTGGATTCACACAGATGACATCCTTTTAGAGGAGGTGATAAAGTTTATCCTTGGTAGTCTTTCATAAAGTTATTTATAGCTGTTAACCAGGTCTAAAACTGAAAAAAGACTGGGCTGGTGAATAAAAAAAGGCAATTCTTTGATATTCTGCTAACTTAATTCCAAAGACAAGAAAGCAACTATTAAAAAAAAGAAGAAAAAAAAAAGTCGTTTCTAGAAACTCACAAAAAACAAAAGTAGCTACCAGAAACTGTAGAAGACACCAATAATCACCATCCTTTGGATGGTAATTCATTCTGGAATGTGAATGACATGTAAATTTTTCATTCAGATTACTTAAAAGTTGTATGCTTAAAGTGCTAGAGGCTCTTTATTTCCGTCTGTGATTTAGATTAGAAATTTTCTTTTTGGGCAGTAGAAGCTCTGTGACCATAATGCCCCAAAAGTTTAAGACTTGTGTGTGGTATAGAACTCTGAGTTGAAAAGACAGATGTCCCATCTTGTATTTTTACCTTCATGTCTCAAAGGTCCAAGACCTTTTTAGTTCTGTGAAGTGAAAATATATAGTGAACCAAACCATCACAAACTCTTTCCTGGGCCCAAAATTAGCAGAGTGCATGTGGATACCCAGGCAAAGCAGGAAAAGAGAGTAACAAAACAAGCTGTGAGGAAGTTTTATGGTTTTTATAATATGTGAGCCAGCAAAACAAAGCACTGGAAAACCTTCTGAAACTTACGAGAAAATCATTGCAAATTTTTCCCTCACAGTGCAATCCCTCTTTTCCAAACGAAATACTGTCTAGAGCTTTACTATATAAACAGATGAAGTTGGGGCTAGTATGATTCAATGAGGTGGAAGGCCCAGAGCCATGCAGACTCTACTCTCCTAGTACGTCCTTCCTTTAGGCAGCTCCTGAGTACTGTTCAGAATCTCTGTGGAGCACAATTTGAAAATCAGTGACCCAGATCTGTGTTTTTCCAATTTTAAGGTGCATACAGATCACCTGGAGGTCTTGTTAAAATGCAGATTCCAATTTAGTAAGCCTCAGTGGAGCCTGACAATTTGTATTTCTAAAAAGTTCCCAGGTAATACTGACGCTGCCAATTCAAACCACATGTTTAGTAGCAAAGAGCTAGAATTTATCTAGTGTGGAGTTGTGTAATCCAGAGCTCTTTGTATACTGGTAGCGGTGTTTTCACATTTCCTAAGTCCTAACATGATATTCTGCATCCCCAAAGTCTAGTCAAAGAAGTCAGCCTAAGAGCTCTTTCTATATAGATTAGTAGTATCTCCCCTTTATTATAGGCTAAAGCTGCTTGTGCCTTGCCTGGGGAAAGGGAAGGGAAGTGTGTTCCAAGAATATATATATATATTCTTGAACTTTATGATTATTGTCTTATGTCCAAAGCATTCTACAGCACCGTTGTTGAATGTCAGTCTTGTCTGGTCCTTCTCTTTCCAAGTCCACTGTATTCAGTAAGTCTTGTCTCTTTTCTCAGGGATGACTTGACTGATGATTCTGTCTTCACGCGAAGCTCTCAATGCTCTCGAGGTCTTGAAAGATATATTTCCCGGGATGAGGGGCCTCTCAGTCCCTTTTTGGGACAGCTTGATGAGGACTACCGAACAAGGGAAACTTTCCTGCATCGTTCTGATTATAGTTCTCATATCACTTGTCATGATGAGATGTTGCATGGAACAGAACGGAGTAGAGACAAACTCAAAGGTTCCTACTCTATACGACCTGAGGAAAGGAGCCGGGAGGCCAAACGGCCCCGTTATGATGACACAGAGAAGATGCACAGCCTGGGTAGTGATCACCCAAATTTTACATCAGGAACCCGCAACTATAGACAGCGTAGACGGAGCCCAAGCCCTAGATTTCTAGACCCTGAGTTTCGAGAGCTGGACCTTGCCAGGAGAAAACGAGAGGAAGAGGAAGAGCGAAGTAGGAGCTTGAGTCAGGAGCTGGTGGGAGTTGATGGTAGCACGAGCTGTCCCATCCCTGGATTATCAGGTGTCCTAACAGCATCAGAGCCAGGATATTCTTTACATCAGCCTGAGGAAGTATCTGTGATGCCGAAGAAATCGATTCTGAAGAAGCGGATTGAGGTGGACATGGAGCCTTCCGTGCAGGTCTCTGTTACATTTCTGCTATGGTCTCTTGTTAGTTCCTTTAATATCTTAAAGCCTGGTTTCTTTTCTGGGTGCTCTGTCCCTGATGGTATCTTCGGGTAATATATGCTAGACCAACATTGTTATGCCTATGAGCTGCACTTTCCAGATCTCCCCAAAGGAAACTAGGTTTCATAATGCACCAGTGAGGGGCTTCTATTGTCATATATTAGGTTTCCTAACAAACATTTTGGAGACTATCTATTGTAGCTATTTCTCTAAATTAAGATGCCCTGTAGGAATCGTTGCCTATGAATTTCTTGGAAATGAAGCTTGCAGGGCAAAGGAAAATGATCTAAATTTTCCTCATCTCTCTTTAGAGAGAAAACAAAATATATGAGTGGTAGGACACTAGACCAGAAATCAGGTAATTCTGATTCTGGACCCACGTCTGCCACCAACTTGCTATGTATTTAGTTTCAGAGAGATGGGAAGGGAGGGAGAGAAAGAGAGAGAGAGAAAAACATTGATATGCAAGACACACATCAATCGTTTGCCTCTTGCATGTCCCTGACTGGTGACCTGGCCTGCAACCCACGCATGTGCCCTGACTGGGATTCGAACTGGTGACCTTCCAGTTCGCAGGTCGGCAATCAATCCACTGAGCCACACCAGCCAGGGCTATATTTTGTTAACTTCATTTTTATTTTTGACACTCTTACAGATGTCCTCATTTTGCCCTGCCCCTTTGCTTACCTCTACCCAGCCCCAGCCCTGCCTTCCTCTGGCCTTGATTTTTTTTTTTTTTTTTAACCTATAAAAATATGGTCAGGCATGAGCACTGATGTTTACCTGTCCTCTTAAGAGCTAAAGGTTTCTAAAGAGTTGCTACAGGCACTTAGGGAAGCAAGGGGAGGCTGATCAACTAGTTTTTCAGAGTTTCCTAACTCCACTCCAGCTAAAGCAGCTTTATACTTTTATATGTTTTTTTTTTCCTTTGGGAATTCATAGAAAACAAGTAAGCTCGGACATCTCTAAAGTTCTTTTGAATTTAAATTCCTTGATAAGGACTACAACGAATGGGCAAAAGTGAGGATTCAATCCAATCTGCCTTATTTCCTGTTTCTTTTTGCCATAGCAGAAACGTCTGGAAAATGGGGGCCCAAATCTTGAACCTCCCTGACTAAGGATACTGTACTTTCCTTTTATCCATACTTATCTTTCCCCTATTAATTCAAGAATAACAAAGCATCTAAATATGTATCTCCTTTGCTAGTTTTCTGAGTTTCTACATAGAGACCAAATTGGTTTTGTTTGTCTTTGCAGCTTGAGAGTTTTTCCAGCAATACCAGCTCCAGCCAGGATCACCCTCTGTACTCTGGACATCCATCTGTTCCACTGAGTGGTGCTATTGCTGCTTTTGCTTCAGAGATTGAAAGCAACAAGGGAACTATGGTAGATACTACCCTGAAGGAATCTCAGGGCAACCTCTACCAATGGGGTCCCCTCCCTGGGATGCCCAAAGACAACAGTCCTCTCAGAGAGAAGTTTGGAAGTTTTCTGTGCCACAAGGAGAAATTGGATATGAAGGCTGAGGGACCTGAGCGACACACAGACTTCTTGCTTCCCCATGAGAGAGCTAGCCAAGATGGCAGTGGTTTTTCCCGCATTCTGAGCATGTTGGCAGATTCTACCAGTACACAGGAAAAAAGACGACGTAGCTTCCCTGACATTGAAGATGAAGAGAAATTTCTCTATGGAGATGAAGAAGAGGATTTAAAGGCAGAATCTCCACCAAAGCCCCTCGGGGGTTCTGAGAGTGAAGTTATGAGGCAGAAGGCAAGCTCCCTGCCCACGTCAGCTCCAGCTGTAAAGCTAGAATCAATAGAAGAGTCCAATCCAGAATATGCCAAGATTCATGATTTGCTCAAAACCATAGGCCTGGATATTGGGGTAACAGAAATTAGTAAACTGGCTGCGCGTACCCAGGAACGACTTCATGGCAAGAAGCCATCACGTTCCTCCACTGACCGCCGTTCTTCAGTTGACCGGCACTTTTCAGCAGACCACTGTTCCTCAGTTGACCGCCGTTTCTCAGCTGATCGGTGTTCCTCAGATCCTCACAAATTAGAGAGCAGGGAGGCACACCATAGCAATGCTCATTCCCCAGAGGTGTCCCATCCACATCCAGTCTCCCCTGTGGATCCTTACCTGCTCACAAAAAACAGCCCCCCATTCCTAAAGTCTGACCATCCAGTGGGTCATATTGCAGGACCAGAAGTGGTTGGCAGTGGGTTTCAGTCATCTGTTGCAGTCAGGTGCCTATTGCCATCAGCCCCATCTGCCCCAATTAGACTTTCACACCCTGCTTCTTTATCTCAGTTTCATGTGCCAAGGCCCTCTCAGTTTGCTGCAGCTCGGATACCTTCAAACTACCAGGGACCTGCCATTCCCCCTGCTTCCTTTGATGCCTATAGGCACTACATGGCATATGCAGCCTCTAGGTGGCCCATGTACCCCACCTCTCAACCATCAAAGCATCCTCTGCCTGAACCACACCGGGTAATGCCAGTTACCAAGCAAGCTACTCGTAGCCGTCCCAATCTCCGTGTGATCCCCACTGTGACTCCTGCTGAGCCCAAGCAGGAGGAGTCAGTGCTGAGTTCAATTCCTACTGCCCAAGTGCCTGTCCAGGTGTCCATCCCATCACTCATAAGATATAATCCGGAAAAGCTCTCTGATGAAAAGAATCGTGCTTCCCAGAAGCAGAAGGTGAATATTAGCTTTGGGGATCCTGTGCCTGAGTCTTTTAACATAAATACGTATTTGTCTTTTAAAGGGAGCTGAAAAGTTTTAAGGCCCTTTTACTTTAAGTTCTTTGGAGGCTGCTATCATCACCCTAATTAATGTATGTGTCCTCTCTGTTTTTCTTACATGTTTTCTCATTAAGACTAAAGTCTGGCTGTAGGTCCCATCGTGATTGCTAGACTTCTTTTTTCTTATTTAAGTTTATTTCTCTATTCAAATTATTTGCTTCAGAACACTATGGATAGGAGCTGGGAGCGTTGAAGTCTTCAATATGACCTCATCAGGGAGTAAGGAACCAAAATTGGGTTGTATGAAGGAGAATCAAATAAATCTGTTTCATCCCAGTAAGTTTTGGATCCTTTTCCTGTAGTGATTATGGGGGTTAATAGCTAATAACTAGTTGTTGCTTGACAATTAAACCAATAAATAAGCTTTTCTTGTACTGGTTTAGAGTCCAGGAATAACATTTTTATGGCTTTTTTAAAGTAGTTTTTATACTATCATGGTTCATTGAGTTCCCAGGCTGTAGGAAGGGAGCAGTGGCTGGGGTAAAGGTATAATAATTCTAGATATTTTAGGGCAGTAGGTAAAAATTAAGCAGGGACATGCAATAATAAATAGAAGAATTTCAAATGGAAATACATGTATTGTTAATTTTCAAACAACATAACTAATAACTCACTTTTTTTAGGAACATAAAAATAAGTATAAATTTGACTTGCTGATAAAATAAGACCTAAGGAGAAAAAAGAAAAAATTAGAGGACTAATCTCTTTTTTCCCCAGGTTAGGAGAAATATAGCTAATCCTTGAGAAGACCAAAAAAAAATCTGTCTTTCATTTTGTTGAAGTCTTTTAGGAAAGAAGGGTAGGTTCAAAAAGACGAAACCTAACTGAAAGACACTAGAAACTGGGCGTTTTCCCTTTAAGAATCTAGCACTTAAGTCGGGTCTGATAATAACGCAAGTTTTCACACTTGCCCCTTAATAGACAAGTCATTTTTTTTTTCCATTAGGTGGTAGTGATATAATTGAAAGATCATGAGCTTTAGGTCACTTAAACCTGGATTTTAAACTCTTACTATATGACCTTGAATATGTTACTTAATTTTTCACAACCTCAATTTTCTTACTATAAAACAGAGATAATGTCATGAGGATTAAATAAAATGATACGATGTAATGCAGCTAAAACACCCTCACCCATAACATACTTTCTTCTTGATGGGTCCCTTTGGGCTTAGAACCACTAACAGTTGCTGTCAGTAGTGTTAAAATGGATAGTGCAGTACTTCCCATATAAAAATAATACTTTTGGGGCTATGTAGCTCTAGAAAGGATAGTTCTATTCTGGAACTTGGGTCAGAATGATGTATCACCTTCACTGTGAAGTCAGAGCTTCAGTGTACAGGCATTTAGATTCTTGCATTCAGGTATTATCCAGCATGAGGGCTTATGAACAAGTACAGTAGGAAAGGGAGGCTGTTGGAGGCTGAAGCACTCTCTTACCATTTTGTATTTTGCAGGTTATTAAAGAGAGGGAAAAGCTAAAGAGTGACCGGGAAGCTCGGCAGAAGAAGATGTACTATCTCAGGACCGAGTTGGAGCGACTTCATAAACAACAAGGTATCAGACATTCCTTTGCACGGCTGCCTTTTTGTAGTAACTTGAGTAAATGACCTAAATGAAGAGCTTTGGGAACTCTCAGGTCCAGTGACCTGAAGTCACACTTTTAAAAAGCTTTTTTGAGCTAATTAGACTAATAGAAAAGTGACAATCATAGTGTAAATAATTCTCATGTATTCTCCGTGATTACTAGCATTTTACTACATTTGCTTTATCCCTTTTTTCCCTTTCAATCTGTATGTGTGTGTAATTTTTCCTTATGCCTTTAAGAGCAAGTCATAAATATGATGATCTTTTACTCCTAAATAATCCAGTGTCTTTCTCCTAACAACAAAAAAATTGACTTATATAATCATAGTACATTTACCAAAATTAGGAAATTAACAGTAATGTACTAGTCTGCTGATATTATTCATATTTTACCAGTTGTCCAGATAATGTTCTACTACAAAAAAAAAAAAGCAAGATTATACATTGCATTCAGTTCTTTTAGTCTCCTTTAATCTGTAACAATTTCTGAATATTTATATTTCATGACATTGACATTTTAGAAGAGAAGAAGTGGCCCTGGCCAGGTGGCTCAGTTGGTTGGAGCATCGTCCCGTATACCAAAAAGGTTGTGGTTCACTCCCTGGTCGCGGTGTGTGTTGGAGGCAGTGGATCAATGTTTCTCTCTAACATTGGTGTTTCTTTATCTCTCCCTTCTCCCTAAAAATCTATATCCATACATACATACAAATACGTGTATATATATATATATATATTTTTTTTTTTTTTAAGTTTTTAAAAAGAAATCACATATTTTGTAGACTGTCCTTTAATTTTGGTTTGTCTGATGTTTCCTCATTCAGTTCAGGTTATGAATTCAGGTTAGCAGGAACATCACAGAAGTGAGGCTAAGTTGATATCAAATGTTGATTTGTCCCATAACTGGTGATGTCAACTTTGATCATTTGGTTAAGGTGGTGTCTGCCAGGTTTCTCCACTGTAAAGTTACTATTTTACCCTTTTAATTAATAAGTATCTTATAGGGGAGATACTTTGAAACTATGTAAATATTCAGTTGCTCCTCAAATTTATGCCTACTAGTTTTAGTATTCATTGATGTTCTGGCCTGACTTAATTATTATTATCATGGTTGGTAAATAGTGATTTTCTAATTTTATCACTCTATCTTTATTGGCTTTCTGTTGTAAGGAGGAGCTCTCTACCACCCCTGCACTTCCATTTATTTATCCATTTATATCAGTGTGAACTCATGGATTCTTCATTCAATAGATTATAATAAATGCTTCTAATTATTTATTTTCATACTTAAAACATGCCAGATTTGGCCAGTGGGACCCCTTTAAGTTGACTCTGCTGTCCTTTTAATATGTCCTCATCATTTTTTGAGGACTTCCTTACTTTTTGGCCCAAAAAGATGTCCCATGGTACCTCTTTTGATTCCTTCTCTTCATTTATGCTTTTAAGAATTAACATATACCCCAAGGAAAGAATACAACAAGGTTTCTAAATACTACAGCTTGGTGAAAGCACGGAAAAACAGAGTGGGAGAAGTTATAATTTCTTCTGTTCGGGTTTGGACTATTTAGGGATCAGACTCTGATTTTTGCCCTCTGAATAATTCTTTGCTTCTCTGAAGAGGATAGCCACTAAATTCATAGTTAAAACATCTCTTAATCTTTTTGGAGGATACAGGCACACAAACTTGTATTTTGGGGATTCATGGAGGCCCTGAAGCCTATCTGTAGATCCTTAGGTAATAACCCCTACCTGAAAGATAATGTAATCACTTATCCTTTACCTCCATGGAAGCTTTACCTCAACCAGCCCATGTGGATAGAGAGTCCCACTTGCTTTTAAAAAGTTTTATGGGAAATATTTTGTGACCAAAAGTCTTGAGAGATTACTACTAATTACAGAAAAATAATTTGCCTTAACTTAGTTTCCTTGTGTTTCTCCCTATTGACATTTGACTACTTAGGGGAAATGCTGCGCAAGAAACGAAGGGAGAAGGATGGCCACAAAGACCCACTCCTGGTGGAAGTGAGTCGACTTCAGGATAACATTATGAAGGACATAGCAGAACTTCGACAAGAGGCAGAAGAGGCCGAAAAGAAACAATCTGAACTGGACAAAGTGGCTCAGATCTTGGGAATTAACATTTTGGATAAATCCCAGAAGTCTTCAAATGACAGTAAAGAGCATACAGAGAAGCCTGGGAAAGCAGAAAAATCTAAGAGCCCAGAAAAAGTATTATCATACTCAAACTCTTTGAACAGCAAGGTAAAAACTCAACATTTCCATTTCTATTATATTTTTTATTTTTATGGACTCCTAAAGAAGCTTTCTAACCATTTTCTTAGCTTCCTTTTCCAATCTATTTTTACTATTGTTAGAGTTTTGTAAAGCATAGATCAAATTATGATAGTGTCCAGAATTTTAGCAGTTTCCTATTGCCCACAAAATACTGAGGGAATCCTAAACCCTCAGTATTCAGAGCCTTCTATGTTCTTGTTCTAGCATTTACCCACTCACATTTGGGCTTCTAGTCTTACCATAACTTATATGTACCATTTTATGGGTTCATGTTTGGAACAAGATCACATGATCACAAGATTACATTTCTGTTCTAAAATCAGTATTTGACATAGGGAATCACCTACTGTTAAAAATGTTTCTTTCCTTAGTTTCTATCACACTTCCGTCCTTCCTATTATTCTGGCTGCTATTGATTAGTCTCCTTTGCTGCCTATTCTCTTGTACCTAATCTTTAACTATTTTAGTTCTTCAGGGCTCAATCCTAGGTAAGTCATCCAGAATTCTGCTTTCTTCTTAGGTCATTTTGTCCAGCTCTATGCTGAAATACCATGCTGACATCTTCTAGTTTTATATTCTAGCTCAAATGATTTTTTTTTTTTTTTGAGCTCCAAACCTAAGTGTCCAACAGGCTACTCACCATTTCTACTTCATTTTCTCATAGACACCTCAAAGTCAACATATCCTAAACTAGTGATTGTGCTCAACCTCCCTCTAACTTTTCTTTCCTCCGATGTTACCCATCTCAATAAATGGCACTACTATCCTACAGTTCTCATGCCAACAACCTAAAAAACATTCTTAGTGCTTTCCTCTCACTTACTGCTCCATACCAAATCAAGAACAGATACTGCCAGTTCTCCCTCCAAAGTAAATCTCAGTTCCATCCATTTTACCATTTCCATTGCCATCGAAGTTCAAGCCACCTTCAGTTCTTGCTTATACTGCTACACTCTTATTTCTTCCTCCACATACAGCCAGTGATCATGATACTTTCTTGCCTACCTCTTCATCCTCATTTCATGTATCTTTTTCCGCTTGCTCACTATGATTTCATTACTGGCCTTTTCAGTCCTCAAATCTGTCATTTCCTCTAACATCTTTGCATTTTCTCTTCCTTCTGGTTACCATGCAAATCCCACTTTTTCCTTATCCCTTTTAACTAACTCATGTTCATTCTTCAGGTTGTAGCTTAAATTATTTCCCTGACTCCCTTCCTGATTTCCCAGGCTATTAAAATTGACTAATACACACTGATAATACTTATAATTTTTTGTCTTAACATTTATGAGAGTTATAAAGTTATATGTGTTCCCCAAATTAGGTTTTAAGGTTCAAGGGACAGGGACTGTATCTGTCTCATTCTTCAATATAATCCCCAATATGTATCTCAGTGCCTGACACATAGTAAATGAGTAGTGCTCAATAAATATTAAACTGTATTTTAGACTCCTACAGCCCCAAAATGCTTGCCCTTTTCTAGATGGGCAATACGCTATTTTGTGTTTCTAATTTTGCATTAATGATCCTCTTAGCCTGGATTAATTTTTCTTCTCAACCCCATTTGTCCACTAAGGCCCGACTTGAATACTGCATTCTCCATGAAAAACTCCTGAATTCTATCCAGATTTAGTCAAAAAGATTTTATTTATTTATTTTTAGAGGGGAAGGGAGAGAGAAGGGGAGGGAGAGAAACATCAATGTGTGGTTGCCTCTTCCGCAATCCCTACTGGGCACCTGGCCCGCAACCCAGGCATGTGCCCTGACTGGGAATCAAACCGGTGATCTCTTGGTTGGCAGGCCGGCACTCAGTCCACTGAGCCATACCAGCCACAGCCCTTCTTTAGCACTCTTAATGTATTACTTTGTTTCTTTATAAGATATATTTCATTCTGTCATATTTAAAACATAATTTACAAAATGTCTATTCTCACTGCTGTCTCTTTTAGTAAATGAGAGCCTCTTGAGAATAAAAGAGTATAACTTTTACTCTTCATATTTACCATGACATCCAGTATGTGTAGAATATAGTAGATGTTGAGCTAATGTTTGAGGGACGTTGAGAGTAGAGGATATTGTGTATTCTCTATCAACCAAACTGTAATTATTCCATGTGTTTCTAGGAGAGTTCTCTTTCTCAGTCGAGTAAGACTATTCTTTTATACCAGGGCTATTGAGTTAGGGCATTAATGTGAGAAGAGCTTCAAAGTTCTGGCCCTTTATAGTTGAGTTATACATTGTTTTGGAGTCTGTTTATACATCAACCCCATGATAATCTGTCATCTTTCTTTGAGTGAATCTTCATGATCTCTGAACCAATAGGGATATGTTGCAATTCAGTTTTCATTTCAGCAATAAGGAACATTGTGTCTCTAACCTCTATTGGTATTTCTTTCTTTGCCTCTCTTTCAAATGCATATTTGATTTTTTGGTTTTCTATTCATTTCATAAAAATAAATATTTTCATAATTGCATTCACCTAGAGACAACTGTTATTAATATCTTGGTGTATATTATTCCAAATGCTTAACAAATATTTATTAATCTGTAAGAAAGTGCCAGGCACTATTTTAGAAATGGGAAGAAAAGCAGGAAACTGTATAGACAAGGTTCTTGTTCCTTATTCTCATCAAATAGGAGAAGATAGACAATAAATAAACAAGTTCAGATTAGATAATGACAGGTGCCTAAAAAAACAAAACAGGATAAAGAATATAGAGTAGTTAGGGAAGGTCTTTTGTATAAGGTAGCATTTGATATTCTATGCCTATTCACATATCTATTAATTATTCAAATGTATTTTCTTACATACTTTTCACAGTATGTATAATGAACATCTTTCAATGTCAATAAATAGACTTCTCTAATAACATTTTTAATGACCTTATTTTTTTGTGGTAGTATCGTTACCAAAATTCATTTAATCAATCAACTCCCCCGTTGCTTGACATAATAATTTCCTTAGGATAAATGTTAAGGAATGAAATTGCTGGGTCAAAGAGTATGAAGAATTTTAATATGTAATATGTATTTCTAGATTTTCATCCAGAAAGATGGTGCCAATTAATACTCACCAACAATGTATGCATATGCCCATCCCTCACCTGCTGCGTGTGTTCTCCCTAGTGTCTGTTGAATAAAACTCTAGCAGGGAAGGATTATTTTTGAAGTGCAAATTGTTGCTTTTTCTCTATCCTGTCTTCCTTTTCCCATCAGTCAATATTACATGTGCCCAGTTCCCTGACCTTGTCTGCTATAGATCCTCATGTATACTTAGCCACTGTGTTTTCCAAAATTACCTTTTTTCTGTTCCTCACTACCTAACATTAACCAAAATTGTTATTTCCTGTCTGTTTCCCAGTTTGCTGACAAATGAATTAATATTAAAATACTTACTGATAACTTAATGTTTGGGAATTAATATGTTTTAAAAGAGAATTCATATTAACTCAGAGGTATTAAATTGGTGGTATGAAATACCAGTAGTGCCCTGGCTGGTGTGACTCAGTGGACTGAGCACTGGCCTGCAAACCAAAGGGTTGCTGTTTTGATTCCTGGTTGGGACACATGCCTGGGTTTCGGGACAAGTCCACAGTTAGTGCACGTGCGAGGCAACCGATCAATGTTTCTTGCACACATTAGTGTTTCTCTTCCTTTCACCCTCCCTTCCCCCTCTCTTAAAAATAAGTAAAATCTTTAAAAAATAATACCACCAATGGTGGTATTTTAGGCAGTTAGAAATATTTTACCCAAATTTCTCTAAGTCATCCCATATAAACTACTGTCTGCTTTGTGCACAACATCAGCCCTGCCCTGCAGTGTTCCATACCAGTATGCATCTGTGGTGAGTTCACTGTCATCTAGTCTCTGCATTTACATAACCTGTCAATTACCTTTTCCATTTGGTTTTTCTTCCCTCCATAGTTGTCATTATGATTTTTAAATTTAAGTATTGTATTTAATTGCATAGTAACACTTTCAACATCTACCAAAGGGTATACAGTTCTCCACTGCCCCTCTCCAGAGGCAGCTAGCATTTCAATAATCTTGAGTATTCTCCTAGATATTTTAGGATAAGCAAAATATAAGGAAATGTATTGCCATTACCATTGTGATTTATTTTCCATTAGAGAAAGCACTCTGGAGTCTAATTAGTTCTGTTTGAGCCTTAGAGACAGATTTCTTGTGGGGTGTTACCCAGTTTTTGCAGCTTTAGGGGCTGGAAATATGATCATAGAGGCCTATTTCTATAATTGTGATAGGCTACTTGCTTTTTCTGAGAAAACAGATCTAAACTGCCTTGAATTCCTAAGTGCAGGTTTTTTTCCCTGTAGGACTCAAAGGTAAACAATGAGAATTCTCATACTAAGAGCCCCAAGCCTGCGGAGAGCCCCCAGCCAGCTGCTAAGCAATCTGATCAGCCCATTGCTGCGTATGAGTATTATGATGCTGGCAATCATTGGTGCAAGGACTGCAACACCATCTGTGGGACCATGTTTGACTTCTTCACCCATATGCACAATAAGAAGCACACACAGGTAAGTACCCTGCCCTCTGTTATTTCTACTCTCACTCTCTTCCCCTCAAACTTCTATACCCCCATCTGCATTACAAAGCTGGCAAATGAAACATTCTCATATGGGCAGGAGCCCCAATATGAAGAGCCAAGAGATACCAGCAAAGGAGTCACCATCCCCAGGGCTCAGTCCAGGGGACCTGCCTGTAACTAAACACCATGACAAGTGTAAGTGAGGCTTCGGCCTCTTTTGATTCCTTGAGTACCTGATTATTTGTTTTATTTTATCCATTGCTGGTACTTGCTCTAACATATGTTTACCTTTTCCACAGGTGATTTCCGTTTAAACAGTTGGCAGAGTGGGTGGGGGTGGGTACTTGGGGCCTTCTGGTCCTTCTGTTGTGTAGGGAAAAAAGAAAAGTGGGGCATTGAGTTTTTAGTGCTGTTGTGTGAGCGCCTCTGCCTCTTGCAAATAGACACTGGATCCCTACAACAGACCTTGGGCTTCAAAGACCCAGAGTGAGGCCAAACAAGATACTGTAAAGCGCACTGACAAGATAACTGTTCCTGCGAAAGGTATGTTTCCCCTCTGGCTTTTTTGTGGTTTCCTCATAGTCAAGGAGGAGGGGTCCCTGAACTAAGGTGCTAGGAAGCAGCATAGGGTGAGACCTGAATACTTGTTTTGACAAAGCTGTAAAAATGCCTTCTATGTGCAAAACAGTGTACTAGGACCTGAAGAAATACAGAGCTGTATAAGACAAGAATGATCTCTACCTATGTGGCCAAAAGTCTAACAAATATTAAACATACGTATACTATTTTAAAATATAATTTTCTTTGTCCCTGGCTTATGCACTAAAATCTTACTTATTTGAAATCCAGGTTAAAAAAAAAAACACTAAAAAGTGCAGTAATTTAACTGCCTTTTCAACTAAGAAATATTTTTGAATAGTCATTATTAAGGGGGTAAATTGAGAAGTAGAAAGTTTCTTTGTCTTTAAACTTCTCAATGTCTTACTTTCATAAGCACTCAATGCTGCTACATCCTTTAGATCTGAAGAAGATAGATCATTTCAGAGTCATTAATATCAACATGAGAGAACCTCATACAAATGGTACTGGGCTAACTATTTGGGATTATAGTTTTTAAATCTCCTAAAATACTTAGTGCTAGATGGAGTTTAAGAAGACCTGGCAACAGAAGTGAATCTAGCACAGGAAACTCCTGAATATACCAGTTAGTGTTCCCAAGAGGTAGAAGGCATAGAGGTTCTGAGTTCAAACTTAAGTTGGGAAGGCTGTACCATTGGAATTCATCTAAATGCTACTTCTGACTCAAAAATGGGTAATGTCCTCTGTACCATTAACCATTTTAATTGCAAAGAAGAAGAGGGATTTCCTTTGGTTGCTCTCATCCTAGGTGGAAATGACTTATTTTCTTGACCATCTTCCACTTCTTCCAGGCTCTGAATTTCTGATTCCCATCACTGGATATTACTGCCAGCTCTGTGAAGAATTTTTGGGGGATCCAATTTCTGGAGAGCAACATGTGAAGGGTCACCAACACAATGAGAAATATAAGGTTGGTCTTTGTAGTAGCCTGTGAAGTTTCCCCACTTTCTGCAGTAATCCTTTTGACTTTGTCAAACAAGTTGAGAGCCAGAAAAAGTCATTAACACTTCAAATTCCATATAAATACTAGGAGGTTCTCCATCCTAGTGAGAGATGCTGACCTGATAGAACCATTTACATCCTTGAGCAAAATGACTTCTAGAGATTAGCAGGGCCAAGATTTTCTCTTTTATAGTACTTTGACTAGTTGTTGAACCTTTACCTTTTCTCTTCCCAGAAATATGTGATTGAAAACCCATTGTATGAGGAGCGGCGGAATCTGGACCGCCAAGCTGGCTTGGCTGTGGTCCTGGAGACAGAACGGCGACGTCAGAGTGAGCTAAAGCGCAAACTTACTGAGAAACCAAAGGAAGAGAAGAAAGAAAAAAAGGCAAAGATCATGAAAGAAGTAAAGGAAGATGAGAAGGTCTCTGAGGAATTAGAGGACCAACTCTCTGAGGGTGAGAACTCCCCTGAAAAGGCTGAAAACAAGAGGAAGCTTGGCATCCAACTCCAATTAAAAGAAGAAGTAAAGAAAGAATCACCAGCATCTTCTTCTTTTGGGAAATTCAGTTGGAAGAAGCCAGAAAAAGAGGAGGAAAAATGTTCAGTGGTCCAGAGTATTCCCAAGGAAGAGATAGAAGGCAGTAAGGACAAAGAGGATGTTAAAGCTGAAGCTGGGAAGGCAAAGCCCATCAAAATCAAGCTCTCTGGGAAAACTGTTGTTGCACATACTAGCCCTTGGATGCCTGTTGTGACAACTTCAACCCAGACTAAGATCCGACCCAACCTGCCTATCCCATCCACAGTCCTCCGCAAGTCAGGGTCAACCACAGTCAGCAAACCAGCTCCTCTTAACACCTTTCTATCCATCAAGTCTTCTGGAACCACTCCTAAGCCTTTGCCCGTGGTTAAAGAGTCTTCATCTGATCTCCTCTTACCACCCGACATAATCTCCAAAGCATTTGGAGGGGAAGAGGTGATTCTAAAAGGGTCTCCAGAGGAAAAAATGGTGCTGGCTGAAAAGAATGAGCCATCCCATATACCTGAACAAATGCTCCTACCTCCTCCACCACCTCCTCCGCCCCCACCCCCACCACCTCCAGTTATACCTCATCCAGCTGCAGCTGCCCCTTCTTCTGCTCAAGCAAAGGCTGTCTTGGCTCCAGTAAAATCAAATCCAGCTGTATCTCACACTCTTAACTCTTGCTTCCTGGGTCCTAACATTTTGAATCCAGTGTTGCCAGTAGCCATCATGGCCTCAGCACACCCAGCTGCCATTCCTTCTGATGAGACAGCTCCTGGGGTGAGTGAGAGTGACCGGGACCAGACCCTATTCTCTGTGTTAGTGCGCCCACCACCTCCCCTCTCAAGTGTGTTCAGTGAACAAGCCAAAAAATTGGAAAAGCGAAATTCATGCTTAGCCACAGCCAATGCTAAGGACCTGTATGACATATTCTATAGTAGTGGTGGAAAGGGGACTCCTGAGACTAAACTGAGTGGTGGTCCATTGGCCAATGGGGAAAACAGCAACTTCTCTAGAGTCGAAAGTTCAGACACATTTTCCACTTCTACTTTGAACAACGGTGCATCCCAAGAGGAGTTCCCTCCAGACAGAAGTTTGGTTTCTGCTCCTTCAGTTGGAAACCCTAAAAAACCTATTGCAAAAACTCTGGTGTCCCTAGAGAAATGGCCAGTTGTAGAACATGTAGACTCAAAAAACAGAGGCAGTAGCTATGGCTTCCTACAGCCTCTGACAAGGTTGTGCCAAAGCAAACCTTATGAAACTATTACCCCAAAGACAGACACTTTGGCTTTGTGGACTTCTACCTCCTTCCAGAGTGACAGTAATAGGGTTGTATCTCCAGAGGGGAAAATTGAGCTTGACTTTGGAGAGCCAGGGCCACCAGGTGTAGGGCCAGCCCCTCAGCTGTCAGATGTATGCTGTAATACCATGGCATCTCAGAAGTTGGTAGAAACCCACTGCATGGAACCTGGTAACAAGGATGAAAGCCAAGAGCACCACAAAGCTAAGGATTGTGGAGAAAGTGAGATAGAGACAAACGCTGAACTAAAACAAAGGGGAGCAAAGCTCCCTGAGAGGATAGTAGGAAAGAGAACAGGCATCAGTGTTGGGCCCAATAACATAGAGGATTGTAATTTGAACCATAAGAGCAGATATATGTGTGAGGGAAAAATAGAACAGCCCAAGTTGCAAATGACTGACAGAAAGACTGAACAGTCCAAGAAATTGATAACAGGAAGTGAAATTCAGAGTGAAGTGATTGAATTGAATGCACAGGCACTCTCTTCCACAAAGGCAAAAATAGACTCATTTCCACCAGAAGCTAGGTCTTTACTTCAGAACCCACAAGACACAGTTGTGAAAATTTCTGCCCCAGAATTACTTCAGTCCGCAGCCAGATCAGATACATGTTTAACAGATAGTGCACAGGAGCAAGAAGTTTCAACTGGTAGCGAGGAGTGCCTAGAAAATTCAACTCCAGAATCAGCTTCCAGGGCCTCAAGGTACAGAAGCCTCAAGAGAGAAAAATCAAAAGAAAGTCAGGATAAATTGATCTGTGACCTGGTTCTTTGGGATGAGAACAAGAAGCCAGAAACCTGGAAGAGCCCAGAGAAACCAGAAGCAGAAGCCCTGGAGCTACAAGATGGCCATCCAGAATTAACAATGGCAATAGAAAGCAAGGCCTTAGAAGACTTTGAAGTTACAGACTTGAAAGTAACAGAGCTTGCTGCCCAAGGGAACCTGGGAGATATGGTTGTTGAGTTCTGCAGTACTCCAGTAGACCCAGCACACAGATCTCCAACCTCCCTGTCTCAGAAAGTATGTGAAGAAAATTCTGTGTCAACTGTAAGATGTAATCCCTCCACTCTCAATGACTTTGAACCAATCCCATCCTTTTCTGAGTTTCCCTTAGATTCTCCCAAAACCCAGGTGCTTAACTTCGGAGCAGAGGGTGAGCAAAATTCATCTAGTTCCAGAAGTGGGAGGATCACTCCTAACATTTTGAAAACTCAACTTCCTATAGAAAATGTTGACCTTGGCTTGGGGAGCCTAGAGGGAACACACCAACCCCTTGACCTGTTAGCAGGAGGAATGATGCCTGAGGAAATAGAAGAAACTTCTCAATTAGAGAAACAAGATTCACTTGTGGAATCAGAAACAATTAATCCTGCAGGCCTTGGGCCATCTCCTTGCCTTCCAGACCTTGTTGACTTCGTCACACGGACATCTGGAATTCAAAAAGAGAAGTTATGTTCTCATCTGTCTATGCCAGGTGATGCTTCTGAGTGCAGCTCCTTGGATGTGGGACCACTACAGCTAGAAACAGTGAAGGCATCCATCACAGAGGTAGCAATTCCTCAAGTAAATGAGGACAATGACAACCCTTCAAGTTTAGTAAAATCTTTGGCTTCAGAGGCCCCTACAAGGGAGCAGGTAGTTCGAGACAATACTGTCCCTCAGGAAATACCTACACAAGAAGCTGCAGTTGATGCCATCCAGGACCACACAGAATCCAGTGTTCACAACTAAGAATACATATCCAGAGCTACTTGTGGATGAATCAAATTGGCTTCTAGAAATCAGGTGCCCAGATGATCCAAGATTACTTGGCTATCTCATCTGGAACCTACACCATGAGATGGCAGTCAGCATCTTACAGCAGATGTTCATGGAAGCTAAAAAATTTACCTCCTTTTTTCCTTTCTCCTTAAGATACTAGACAAATCAGTCATAATTTCTATACATATCTGTAAAAAGAAGTGTTTTCTCTTGTTTTTTTTGTTTGTTTGCCAATTTATTTTCTCTTTGTCATTAAAATCAAATGTCTATCTGGCTCACCACATAGTGTGCTTTGATTGTATTTTGCCTTTGACTCTGCCATTTCTGGAACGTGGGGGAGGAGGAAGACAGCTGACTTCTCCGATTGCTGTGTTGTATCTCCACCTAATTTTCTGGGCAGCTTGATGGGTCTTTAGGAAAAACACCAGAAAGCCTGCAGAAATGGAAAACCGATGAAGGAAGGATTGTTCATCTCTTAGGTTTCCATTTGGATGGGCCTGCCTTAACATTGTTTGAAATGCAGTGTGAGTAGCTCTTTTGTTTACTGTTTACTTCCTTGTGGCATGTCAACCCCCAATGCTTTCCTTATTCTGTTGCTTTTGCCTGAAATGGCCCTGATAACCAACAAACCTGTTTGGAAATCACCTCAGTAAACATGGAAGAAAATCTAGCGGGCTCACTTTTGGAGGACAACAACTCGGTAAGGCTTATTCATGGCTCAATGTCAGGAACAGATATGCTTTTTTTGGGTCACTTTTATTTTCGAAATGGCTTTTGTTCATTGTATTGTGATGGGGTTAAATTGCTTAGCAGCCATTTCTGTTCTGAAAAGGTAGAAGATCTGAAACTTTCTGGGATTGGACTTATTGTCTGTTCTACAACCCATATGTATTCCTCCCTCTACCTCTCTTTCCCAAGTTATTTCCACCATAGTGTGATGTTTTGGGTTGTACATTTTTGTTCAAATGATTAAAGAATTTATGAGCTGGCTTGGACAAGTTTAACTTTATTTTTAATGTGTTATTTGGAATAAATGCATTAATCTCATGTTTCTCTGGATTTTTGTGTTTAAACCACACACATTTGACCTTCACAGGAAAACTAAAGCAGTGAACCCTCCACAGCCCTATTGACTATACCCTTCATTTTTTTTGGGGGGGGGGGTGTTCCTTCATGTCAGATTGTTAGGTTATAGTCTGTGCCCCAGTGCTGCCTATATGGGTAGTAAGCAGAGGACAGTGATCTAGTTCTGGCATCTTTTTATTGTGAAGCTTTTTGTGTGCCCTTGTGTTGACTCTCCCTGTGCTCCTCAGGAAACAGTTCACCCAAGAACACTCATATTCTTGCTGAGAGTGCTCTTGGGAATCAGGGAGCTTGGTCCTCAGGTATTCTAATTTCTGTTCCAGTTTCCTCTTGACAGCTCATGTCAGCAATCTATAAACTATCTCAACCGAGACTTCAGAGTTACTCTTCCCCTAAGCCCCCTTCCCCAACTGCTCAAAACTAATACAAAGTTGATCCTTTTTCCTAAGAATTATTTTTCTTCCTGTTTCCTGTGTGCAGAGCTACAGAATTCCTACGTTGAGTTTGGGGAGGCTATTTACTTTTTCTAGAGCCTTGACTAATGTTTGTTTAAAGTTGTCCTGGCCTCTCTTTATCATATTGTGGGGAGGGCATGATTTGGGAGAGTTAGGTCCTTAAATGTTTCTCAGCCATTTGCCCTGCTGTTACTTGAGACAAGTTACTTCACCTCACTATGCCACAAGTATTGTTTTTTTCCTTCTTTAAGATGATCATTATCTCCATCTCGGCACCAAACATGTACAGGGTCAGGCCTTCCTGAGTAGTTGTCTAAGGTTGCTTTTTTAGGCTAAAGCCTGAGTTCAAATGTACTTTTCTGACTTGGAAACCAGACTGATTCAGAAGGTGCCCTTTAGAAAAAAGTAAACCCAGGTGAGCTTCAGAGATATATTTGTTCTTCCAGAAAACTCCCCATTCTGGAGAATTCAGAGAAAAGAAGAGTTTAAAATGCTAGCTGTTAACTGATTTTCAGGCCTGTTCCCTAAATTCCACCACCCTTTAGGGACAGATGGGTAGGTTTAGGGAAAGTCGGGTGGGATTAATCGTATTCAGATACTACTCACTCAATCTCATTCAGAATTTTTTTCCAGTTTGGGAGGAGACCACCTGAGAAGGGCAGAATTAATTCAGATAGCTGGGGCTGGAGTACTTTGTGCAACTCCTCCTGTATTCCCTTGATAACTTGAAGCTTTATACCAAAGGCATCTACCATTCTCAAAGGTTTTCTAGAATAATGGCCATGTAAGAGCTGAAGCAACAGCATTCTTCATATTTGTCTTGAACCAGCAGAGAGAGTTTTTAGATTCTGTGGTTTGGGCAGGAAGTGTTTGTTGCTGGCTTCTAATCCGTGGGATCTAGCTTTGGAACCCATCCAGAGAAGCTATATGAAAGGGCAGAATTCTAACCCATTTGTTTGCTCCTAGAGGTAGGGCCTATTTTTATTCAGTTCTATCGTGGTACTGAGTAAATTTTTACCTTAGGAGACAAAGGCAAAGGTCCTAGTCTTTACGTGAGGCTTATGGTATGTAACTGTGTTTTAAATTTCTACAAGTATCAAAGTTTTTGTTGAATTCTCTCAACTGTGAGAACAAGTAATGAGCAGTTAGGTTTAAATTTGGGCAAAAACTTATTTTACCTAAGTTGTATAAATAATACCCTAAGAATTACCCTTGGCTTTGCGAATGGAGACCTCTTTCTTATAAGCCCTATTTCTCCTATTTACAGCTAGCTTCAGAACATGCAGTACTCTTAAAAACTTTTCTATCAAGTATTCCCACTTTACCCCATGTTATTCCACCTCTTAAAATCACCTCTGGCTTGTGTGGCTCAGTTGGAGCATCATCCAATAGACAGAAAGGTCATGGGTTTGATTTCCAGTCAAAGCATGTGCCCCGGTTGCAGGTTTTATCCCCAGTTGGGGCACATACAAGAAGGCAACCAATCGATGTTTCTCAAATGAGTTTCTCCCTGTCTCTGAGAGCAATGAAAAATGTCCTCAGGTGAGGGTTTAAAAAAAATTCTTGTTAAGTTAAAAAGTTAGCTAATGTTTTGGCAGCAAAGCATGACAGCATATGCCCATTTACCAGGCTGCCAGGTTCAGGGACTTGGGAAGAACGGTGAGAGGTATGTTTGGGTTTGGGGAGAGATGTTAAATGTATTTTCTTCAATGGGTAGGGGTGAGTCCAGGGAGGAGATGGTGTAAAAAGAAAGTCAGGTATAGTTTTTAAAATATACATTCCTAAACCTTGGTTCTCATCTTAACCAAGCTTACCTACCAAGCCCAGGATGAGAATCTAATAAGCAAGATCTTCGTTTATTAACAACTTTGTGAGAAAACAGACAAATGAAAATTGTTTAGGGTTTTGAGTATATTTCTTCTGTATTTAGAGTTTAATTTTGTAATGTTTATATAATTTTAAATAAAAAGTTATATATACAATAATAATAATTCATTGATAAGCCAAGCAGTTGAATTTACAATGAAAATCTTCTGCCCTTAAAAAAAAAATCACTATCCTGATTTGCCTTCAACCCTTACACATTTTCAAAAGACCACGTACAGCCCTCGCCAGGTGGCTTAGTTCATTGGAGTGTCATCCTGCACACCATAAGGTTGTGGGTTCCATCCCAGTCAGGACACATATCTGGGTTGCAGGTTTGATCTCCAGTTGGGGTGCTCATGGGAATCAACTGATGAATGTTTCTCTGTCACATTGATGTTTCCCTCTCTCTCTAGAATCAATTTTTTTTAAACCATTTACATTTTCATTGTAGCACTTAATGTGGTTATATTTTACATTTATGTTTCTTTGATTAAATATATGCCTCACTTCCTTCCAAGTAGATTATAAACTCTCTGAAGCAGGATAGTCTGTCATTGCTTACTGTTTTTTCATCCTTGTGTTTACAGTGCACAGTTACTGGCACAAAAAGAGTGCTCAATAAAAATCTGTTAAAAGGATCAATGTGGTAACAGTAACTTTTTAATTAACGGTTTAATTGACAGTTTATAAGTTAATAACTTTAAATTGCTGATTGTATTTCTTGGGTGCTTAGCACTCTAGAAGCCAACTTGTCCTCTTTCTTCTCTCCTGGATCTTTGTATATCAAGCACTATTTATAACAGTGAGTGCATATCAAGACTTCCAATGGCCCCTTCGTTTCAACATCATTCTGGAATAGTGGTGCCAGTCTAGAAGTGGGACACACTGGCCCTGAAACTCCTAGAAGAAATACTGAGGTTGGGAAATAGGGGTAAACTGACCTTAGATTCAGCAATAAAAGGCTTTGGGGACCCTAATTTTCAGATGGCTCCCTTTCTCCTTCCAGCCAGATTTCATAGGCATGTTGAAGTCAGTTGGTCAAACCCCAAATATCTCTGATTTGGCTGAAGGAGTAATTCAACCCTTCATGGCCCAACATCTTGTCACCTCATCAAAACTCTATATCAAGCTGCCAATTTTATTCCTGGAAGGGAACAAAAAAATTAACCAAAAAAGGTCGCCTTTGGAAGAGGGAAGAGGGATGCTTTCACTTTTTATTTTGTATCTTTATTTTAAACATACCATTAAAATGCATTTTTATATAAAATACAAATATTTTATACACAAAGCATGTACATACATATATAAAATATATAAATTTTGTATCAGAATTATGTGGTGCTGTGGAATTATAGACCAGATTTTTCTTGCTATATACTGTATAGAAAATATAAATGCATTAAATATATTAAAAATTGTTTTTTCAAGTTGTGTCTCTCCCACTTAGTGCATTCCTGTCTTCACTCATCTCGTCAGTTTCCCATAATTACAAATAGGCCTTGCTGCTTTTCCTTCAAGGCTCCTCCATAAATTCCTCTACTCCCATTAAGGCTGGGCAACATACATTCTTCAAGAATCTCCATTCTTAAAGAAAACCATTCTTTTTTTTCTTCCTCTCTTCTGTTCCCTTTCTCTTACCTCTACCTCTGTTGAGTTGGTTATGCATTTCCTTTCATGCTGTATAAGTACTTGGACATTAAATTACATAAATCAAATACTTGTCTTCACAAAGCTTACTTTAATGGAGGTACACAAAGTCCGTTGCATGCAAAAAGACAAGATAACCCATATGTATTGACTGAAAGCTTTAGTACCTTTTGTTCCTTCTACTTGTGGAGGATTGGGCGAGAAAGGAATTTTGTAGAAGTAAGGGAAATGAGCATGCTTAATAGAAGTGAATGAGCAGGGTAAAAATGGAATCAGTTACATAATGGTAGAGGATGTAGAGAAAGATAGCAAAGAGATAAAATCAACCATACTGAGGTATTATTTTTCTTTCATCTCTCTGATACTTTGCCCATACTGTAATTCTCTCCAGCCCTCCTATAGCCTACTATATAAGAATAGTGATGACGTTTACTGACTCTCACCTACCTATCCTTTCTTTTCAGGAGCAATTGCAGAAGTTTTCAGATTTCCAGAAGGAAGAACTGCAGAAGACATCTCTGCCTCCCAAGGAGGCAGGAATACAAGCCACAGATACCACAGAAATGATGAGTGCCCTTGGGGCCAGTAGGCAGTTACCTCTAGGATCTGACTCCCAGAAGGTGGGTATGGCTGCTGGGGTAGGAATGAGTTGTGAGAAGGCCCTGTCATTTTAGCTGCCAGTAAATGTTGAGTTGGGTGAGTAAATATATACGTATGTCTATATCTTTGTATTAGTAGAGGAGGAACAAGATGAAGATAAGCATAGAAGAGATAGATTTTAAATTTGCCACTCCTCATCTCAAATTATCTCCTAACTTCCATCACTCATTTTGTGCCATAATACTTGTTTTAAGCTGTGGAGTTCAGCTTCTGGGCCGTGGGTCCAAAAGTTCCCAGTCAGTAGAATATCTCCCATCTTGATTTCAGCCTTTCTTACTG